TAATGAGACAATTTAATTATCAGTAGAATACCAAGGGAGGAAAAATAATATTTGTAGTGGTAATGAGGGTGGCCCATTTCAAACAGTTGACAAGAAGGTGTGAGTAACAGAAGAGGGAAATTAGTATTCAACTGTTTGAAATGGGCCACCCTCATTACCACTACAAATACTATTTTTCCTCCCTTGGTATTCTACTGATAATTAAATTGTCTCATTAGACTGACCCCCCTCCCCCACCACCTGGTAAGGCAACTCCCATCTTTTCATGTACTAGGTATAAATATACCTGCTACTGTATTTTCCACTCCATGCATCTGATGAAGTGGGTTCTAGCCCACGAAAGCTTATGTCCAACTAAATCTGTTAGTCTCTAAGATGCCACAAGGACTCCTCGTTGTTTTTGCTGATACAGACTAACACGGCTACCACTCTGAAACCTATCTTCCAGCTGTGACTCAAATGCATAATGGACACAAAACTGTTTTCCTGATCCTGCAGCCAAACCACTCTAGTGTGTCTGCTTCTGCTCACAGTTTTACTAAACAGTAAAGTAAACTTCATAGCTATTATTTAAAATGCTTGTAGTTGCAGGGAAACTCGTAGGAATCTAGTGGGCCTAATGCTGTTACAGCTTGGTAAAGCTGTAAGCAACAACCAACGTTATGTTTTCTGTGGAATCTTGCTGTTGCCCCCTCCCTAGTCTGTCATAATCTCTTATGGCTAAAAGGTGTCTGGTAAATTCAAGTCCAGTTTTTTGAATCTCCATTAAATTGGTTTAATAGTTATAACAAAGGCTGATAGCAATGAAACAAATGAGGTATTTAAGGGAATGTCCTGAAGGAGTGAGGAATGTGACAGGGTGGCCAGGAACTTCACTGCCTTTAGAATCAAATACAAAATCCATTTAGTCTTCCTCAAAATACCCTTCTTTTTCTCCACCTATCACCCCTTCTTGTTTGTGTGGTTTAAAAAAAAAAATCCAGTGCTGACTGGAGTGAAGAACCTACTAAATCTTATATACATACCTCTTTAATTTCATGATGGGTGCTAGATAAGACCCTATAAAGTTTGAGTGTAACCCAGCAGCTGTATGTGCTTAAAAAAAAACCCCAAAACCCCACTTTTCAGTGTCACTGAATTATTTATCTTTCCAAGTGGTGATTCTTAAATTTTACATATATACTCTGATGTACAGTATGTGGGAAGCTAGTGCTGAAGTTACAAACATCTGAAGATGTGGTACACTTGTGCACAGTCGAAAAGTGCAGTGCTATTTAAAAGTTAATATTAAAACATACTCTTAATATGTTTAGCTGTGTAGTAAAATGTCTAGGCCACTGAACTCCTTTAAATATAAATTAACTAGGAACTGGTGTTGCTACCTCCCATATAACCTACAAGAATAAGAACAAGCCTAGGAGATTATTTCTACATCTTTCCCTACCTTGCCTTAATTTTATATATGATCAGAGTGCTTTACAAGACATTGTGAAATATTATTTCTGTTTTAGAGGTGATAAAACTGAGGCTTAGAGCTGTCACATTTATTGAGTTTTGGAATCAGGAGTAGAATCTTGGTGCCTTAGTATTAGGCTTATGCCTCATTCACTAGACCAGTGGCTGTCTAGGAAGACAAACTTATTCTCTAATAGTAAAATGGGGCTAATACTGCAGAATGAGATGGGCCTTCTTGCTAGATGGTTAGCAAGTGGTGGATTTATAAGTATCCTCAGTTGAAGCCTTGAGGCAGTCTGTGGGAAAGAAGTCTTGTAACTGACCGATGGACTGAGTATTTGACCCTGTCTCTGACTGTAGTTATAGAATCAGCATTAGGGATGAAGTTATGGGCCGGGGGAGGAACTTAGTACTGCAGCAGCATCCAGGAGGAGAATATTTAATGTGTAACGTCTTCAAAGAGTAATGGTATTATAAGAAGACTACAACAGAACCACCATTAAAAGTTAAAACTCTGAAATACATATATAAAAGCATATTTCAGGGTATTGCTGTCAAAGAAGATCACATTTAAAAAGAAAATGCTTCCCCTGTCCACCTCTTCTTTTGCCAACATCTAGGAAAGGCATATGACTCTTTCAGTCCCTAGGCCGGGGAGAGGGAGAAGAGCCGGCAGCAGTAGGGTGGATCTAAGGTGCTGTGAGTAATGTATGGAGACGGTTTGGAAGGCCTCATTTTAAGAAGCTTGCCGTTATAGCGAAGGGAGTTTCATTTTTGTGCCTTACCTGAGTCTGCTGCTAAAGCATCCCAGTGAGCAAGGAACCCCTGAGGCGTATCAGTTAGTGATTGCTTGAGAGGCGGCTATGTGTGGCCCTGGCCCCCTGCAATCTCATGCACACAAGCCCCCTTGTATTCCAGCGTCCCAAAGGTTTCCAAGCTGCAGAGTTCAAGCAGCCCTGCCTGCCCTGGGCCGCGGCCTCCCTGCGCTGTAAACAGTTTAGCGGTGTGGGGGGAATGAGTTGAGTAGCTCCCGCAATACCTGTCCGCTGTGGGGTCAGCTCCTCCCATCCCAGACTCCCCCTCCATGTCCGGGTGGGGTTTATCCCCCCGGCTCAGCAGGGGACGGGGGTGGCTTCGCGCCGGGCGGGGCTGGGGGAGGTGGCTCTGGCCTGGCAGGCGCCTGCGCTGTGGCTACCGCTGAGGAAGATGCCGTCGGTTTCGAAAGCGGCTTCTCGAGGTGGCGGGTCCGGTGGGTCTCCGCAGACAGAGCAGCCGACGCACTATACGTAGGTATCGGGCCCTGGAGCCACCTTTCGCGCCCTCGCCCCTGGCAAGCCTGACCCAGCGCCGGGCGGGGGTCCTAGGCCCTGAGGTAACGGACTTGGTTTCGCACCCGGCCTAAGTCCAGCGGCCTCTTACTTCGGCAGCGGGTCTCGGGCGGGGGCCGGGAAGGGGCTGTGAGAGCCTGAGAGGCTGCTGCCCTCCGGCGCCGGAACGCGGCCCGAGAGCCCCTAACTCGCCTGGCGGCCTCGGAACGCGGCCCGAGTGCCCCTAACACGACCTGCGGCCTCGCCGTCCCCGAAACAGTACCCGAGCCCCCCAACCCACCGTACAACCCTCTAATGTTCCTGAAACACCGCCCTACAGCCCTCCCAAGTCACCCCCACCACCCCGTAACACTTCCCACATGCCCCAATGCTCCCACAGCCCCTAAACCGCTCCTAATCCTTCTTATAACGGCTCCTATGGCCTCCTGTCATCCCCTAAATAAACACCACCATGCACCCAAGACACTCATAACCCCTGAGACACCCCTAAAGACTTCATAACCATCTCTTAATTCCTTAACAGTCTTATACCCCCAGTAACCTTAACTACCCCTAAACAAACGAAACTCCTAGATAACCCTGACGCCCCCATAAACATCCCCAAAGCACATCCCCAATAACTGAATTACCTCCAGCCTCTAGATTACTGGGGATTTCTAACAGTCTGAGGTAAGCAGTGAAATAACTGTAAGTAACTTCATACAACCTGCCAAAAGCTTCACATAACCCCCAGATCTCAATTGTTTGCACAGTAACAATCTCCAATAACCAAGCTTCTCCAAACTTCCAGTACCTTCCCTAGTAACTTTTGTGTTCTTTTCCATCATCCCTGCTCTTTCTCCTCCCTGGGATAAACTCCCTCTTCTTAATTTCCTATGTTCTTCCTGTTCACTTCTATCCACCTTCCACACGTGCACCCTGTAGACTACTGTACCAGTGTGAAGGGAGTTGCAATTCCTCCCCCATCTCTCATGTCAGTGTTCCCAGGATAGGCTTCTATGCAATGCAAGTCTGTGGTGTGGGGTTATTGGGGTTAAGGGGCATTTCTAACATAAAACCAAATGTGGTTATTTGAAAAAGCAGCTCTAGGAGGATTATCTAGTATAATAGGAGGGAGTCTGAATTCATGTTCAAGTAACTTGTTTTGAAGTGCTTGGAACTGCTGTATGATTGTCACTTAAGGAAATCTAATTTTTAAATCCTATAGACATGATTTTTGACTGTAGTATTTTATATAAATTAGGGCTGTTGATTAATCGCAGTTAACTCACACGATTAACTCAAAAAATTAATTGCGATTAAAAAAATTAATTGTGATTAATCACACTGTTAAACAATAGAATACCAATTGAAATTTATTAAATATTTTGGATGTTTTCCCACATTTTTATATAGTATTCTGTGTTGTAATTGAAATCAAAGTGTATATTATTCTTGATTACAAATAT